ACACCCACAAAAACTGCTTGAATAGCCACCTTTACGTTGGAAATGTAACACGATACATACAAAGAGTCGTCGAGTGCTAGTCAAGAGTTTCCCAAACAAGATAATCCCTTTGTTAGTCGAGTTATAATGCCGTCTCTAGGGAGTCTTCTGCTATTATTTTCTGTTTCATTCAAAGCAGCTGCTCTGAGATGTGCTGGTGTTTCGTATTTCATTTAACAAATATTCAATTTCGATTTGCGATTAAATCGTTACTTTAAGTCAGAAAGTTTTCGATTTATATTTTGTATACTGTACATTGATTCATTGGCTGAACATAGGCCTCCAGATAAATTGTCAGATAAGAAAGATACTCGATAGCTAGCTAGGTATCGAGTATCTAAGATAGTTAATTGATACGAGTAGCTGTTACATTCATTTGGTAATAAGATTTTTTAAATAAATATTTGCCATAGTTGTCACACTTGGCAGGTGGGTTGGAAACCGCAGTTTTTTATTATTAGTTTTTAGGAAGTCGTTGCTGACCATCTCTAGTTTTTTTTTTCTACTTTGCAACCTCTTATGACATACGGGACGTAAATATATCCATATTTACACCATCACTACACGGTCAACTAAAATATATACTGACTTTCTTTCGTTTGCCATTGAACCCAAATTTTTGGGAAATTTTTGTCCATTTATCAATTTGTTAATGTATCCTTCGGAACTACGCTTATCTAAGAAACGTAAGTGTGCTTAAAATGACACATTCAGGTCTGGAAAGCATCGGGATTGGGGAGACCGTGATTAATAAAAAATGAGGCTACTTGCTTTTCATTCATTCATTCATTACAGCTTATCAAAGTTTACTGCTGCATATATGCCTCCCCATAGATTGTCTCAAGGGATTTGTTCTAAATTTGCATTTGTTATCAATTTCAAAAAATCCATCCTTATTTTTTTATAAATCGTCCGCTTATCTATTTTGTTATATTCAATTTTGGCCAAATTCAGAAAAGGGTGAGATTCAATTTGACTAAATGTTTTTTGTAATGTGTTACTCGATAACTTCGACAATTGTGAAATTATTTCAAAGATTATTTTTTTTATTAAATAGACTTTAATCGTACAATCACACACTCACCCTCGTCCATCAAAATATTAAGAAGAAAAAAGTCCACAGCTAAGGGTAAAAAAATAGGCAATGTTTATAGGTCTCTTCCAAGGAATGCCACAAAGTATGGTTCTCAGGCAGCTGCGTCCATTGACTTCCCGCATGTCTTACCAGGTCGTCACTACATCTAGTGGGGGCCAACCCTACACTTCGCCTACCGGTACGAGGCTACCACTCGAACACCTTGTCATCGAGTTCAGAAGTTATTAAGTGAAAATTATCTAAATTGTTTTAATTGTTCAAAGTGAGTTCTAACGTATTACGTATTTATAAGGAAAAATTACGAAAATATACTTACTAATATATTATTTTCACGGTTAAAAGCCAAAAATTGGCCATATTAAGATGGAAAATCCAATCGACCAAAACATGTTCATTTGCAAATTATTAAATGAATTATTCTAACGTAGTTTACCCGAAAAGGAAGCTTTATACTACTATCTACGTGGTAGAGCCATGCTGCAGCTATATTATGGTTGTAGCACGAATGGGTCGGCTCGACCGGGGTAGGACCACGCTCTCACAGAAAACCAGCGTAAAATAGCAGCTTAACGCTGCTGTGTTTAGTATGGCGAGTGTAGAGAACTGGAGATCCTTTTTACTGGCAAAGAGGCATTCCATCTTAGTCCTCACGGGTGACAACGCATCTGCATCTTGAGTCTTTATTGAGGATAGATGTAGATGTCTATGAGTCACAGTAGCCGCTTACCATCAGATGGACTGTGTGCTCGTTTGTCACCCGATCATATAAAAAAAATACTTCAAAGTGCGATACATTTAATCGTAGGAATACCAATATTGACTAAAATGGGATTCATATCACAAGCAGTACTACCTACTATGAATTACTAAAAGAAACCACTAAAGGACTTTTAACGTTACTATCAGCTTTCAAATATCTATGGCATTTTATTTTCACTGCTTTTTTTAATAAGAAATTCATAAAGGTGGTTCAAATACATGGTAATAAAAGTTATTCATTGCCAAAGATATTTATGATAAAAGTAACAAAAATATATATTAACTATGTTAACTTATTATTTACTTGAAAAAATCTTTCATTACTATACAATGCAACTTTTAGAAATGATACTTTTAATGGGATTGTCGTGTTAGGAAATAGCACTTGGCTCGTCACGATGAAGTGCTTTATTTTTTGCAAGTTCTTCTTGCCTTCTTTTCTATCTTAACTTTTTTCGAGTTTGGGAATACGCAGTGAAAAAAGTGATAATTGATGTCTTTGCTTTATCTTGAAACATTCTTTCAAAAACACTTATTATATGTTAGCTTTTTTTTATGAACTGTGTTTACAGACTATCGTTTATAATATTTTGCATTTTGGATATTAAATAATGAATAAAAAATGCTAATGTTAAAATAAATTATTAATTTTTATTTGCAATAATAATTTGCTTCTTTTTTTTCTTGAGATATAGGTTCAAACTAACATTTTATACAATTAACCTTAGTGACTAATAAACTTATATCCACGATTCTGAGTAAACTACAAACTTAGTGATACCTCGTTCAGACTGAAGTAATAAGCTAAATATCTTTTATAGAGTTATATTTAGAATATCTTTTATAGATTTATAGAGTTATGTAAAATAAAATTTGTAAAAGTTAATAAAATGCAATTAATCCAATTTAGTTTTGGAACTACAAACATTAAGTTTAAAAGTTTACTTAATTTTGCAAATAAAACCTACGGAACCTTTTTACTTTCATGGAAAGATGCTTTACCAGTAACACTTCGACCGGTGACAGTTAAGTTTTTGCTGGCTTACCTTCGGTTATCTGATCGGAGAGGTGTAGAGTCTCTTTAGTGAATTATCTTTCACGTTTTTATCACCCTCTTAAAGTTTTTAGACAGGAATTCTGCCAATGTTTTTTTCTGTTTGTTCTTCGATGAGTAAAATATTTTTTATGATTCGCTGATTTAATACTGGAGTTAGTTAATTGGATCTTTTTGAGAACTCTAAATATCACTTGGTGTTTGACAGGAAGTTTGGTCGTGACAAAAAATTCCACGCTTAGATACTTATCTATACATATAATAAATCTGTAGAGAGCCGTGTCTGTAATTTTAGTAATTCTAATATACTCTTGAAAAAACAAGTCCAGGGGACTAAACTAAGTGTACTGAAGCCAAATTAGTGGTTTTTAAAATTTTTGTCGGTCTGTTTGTGTATTAACGATTCACGCAAAAACTACTGGACCGTTTTCCATTAAATTTTATATGTAGGTAGTTAAACTTAAAAAAGAAGGTTAAGTATTTTTCTTCCTTTAGATGTTAATTTTCTATTATATATGATTATGTCAGATTTCAAATAAATATCATATTTGTTAATAAAGTTTTAACCTTAGCATAACAATTTGAATCTCCGCTGACGATATATATACGTTATAATTATCAGAACAGCGCCATCTATCATTAAATGAAAAAGCTAACGTTTAGCCTTTAGTAACTAATAAATTAAATAATATAAATAGTAATATATTACATTTATGTGTTTAAATAATTAGATTATATATATTTTATATTTTTTTATATTTATTATATAAAAGAGGCATAAAGTGATGTTGGTTTTGTCAAAAATCTGCTTCTGTTAGAACACGCTATCAGCGCCGTTAGAGGTGAAAAACTATTTGACGATATGACCATATTATCATGAAATAGCAATGTTGTATTTAGTTATAATTAAAAAGTAATGTTAAGGATTTTATCGCGTTTTATTTTATTTTTTAATTCCTTGTCCCCCCGTCTAAAGTGCTTAAAGCACTTTAGACGGGGGGGGGGGGAGTTGTTTAACGTCCTGATGTTATAGATTACGAAGACTACAATCAACTGTTAACTAAACTAAAGATTACGCAATCTTTCTTATAATTTCATAAATCTTTGCAAATTTAATCTTGTGGGACAGACCATCAATTCGACTGTATGTTTTTTGTGTGTATGTTACGTGATATAATTGCCAAATGTGAACCGATTTTAATGATGCGTCTTTTTAATAAATATGTTTTTTTTTATAGGTGGAATGGAATAGTAGTTAGTGGAGTCTTTAATGTAATTGTCTAGGTGACATTTTATTTTTTAACTAGCACTTGTCCTAAGTCTACTTAAAAGGGTCATAAAGTCGATCCTAAGAGGTAATGCATTGAAGAATTTAAGTCCCGACTCCAGAAGGTATATTAACATTTTTGGTTTTTTAAAGTCGATTCTTACTACTTAAGTTTATTTTTTACCCGACTGCCTGAGAAGGAAGATAATGTTTAAATTCGAGAGTATGTTATATTCCAATTCTTTGGCACGCTCTGTAGCCTAAAACTCTTAATGGATTTTAACAAATGAGGAATCGATAGATTCGTCTTAGTTGTGAAAGTGACATAGGGTATAAAATGTTTCTGCTTTCAGTAAGGTTTTTGTTTACGCAGTAGGACTTTTTTTTAATTATACTGCTATAACCTTTAAGCTGTTCAATTCATGAATTATGAATAAATGACAGTTTTGAGTTGAACGAAAATATGTTTTGATTTTTATTAATGCTAAGATGAATTTCATGTGAGGATTATTTATTCTATGTACATTTAAATATTATATTGTAAATACATTTTATTTAAAAACAAGTTCCGCTGGATTTCTTGCTCGTTCTTCAAAGGACAAAGGTTTTTTTACAGACCAGCTTAAATGACTTTCAATAAATATAATTGTGATCTTGAATAAAAATTATTTAAACCTATTCTATTCTCAAGTTATTAAAAGATATTACTACATTGTGGCTGATACCAAAACTAAGATAAAAAGCGTTCTTATATCCATACAACTATGGTACTTCATTCTACTAACCTTGTTTACCGTCGGCTGCAGCGGCGACGGCGACCACCCATAGCACGAGGAACACAGTTCCCCCCCTCGCCATGGCTTCACACGCGACCTCGCATCACCTAAAACAATAACGAATGTGTGAGTACGTGAAAGCTGACTAATATTTGTTCAGTATCGTGGGCATTTATTACACGGAAAGTAAAATGGAGCGACCTAGAAAGTAATTAGAGTAATTTCAGTTCGTTCGTAGTTCTTTGAGGAAGTGACATAAAATAGCGATGAAAATTACAGTTATGTCCATAAATTTATTTGGAATACTGATAAGAGCGAAATATCTCGTGAATCTTTGGCCACCTAATGTAAATGACAATCTGAATATATAAATAACATCAGAACTCTTAGAAGTAGAATACAACTGAAATCAGCATAGTACAAAAAGTGAATTAATGAAAAATCAGTAGTGCTATAGTTTTTCTTTAAAAATATTTTTTATAGGATAGGGTGACAAACGAGTACACAGTCCACCTGATGGTAAGTGGTTGCTGTGACCCACAGATATCCATATCTATCCTCAATAAGGAATCAAAATGCAGATGCGTTGTCACCCGTGAGGACTAAGATGGAATGCCTCTTTTCCAGTAAAATGGGTCGCCGGTTCTCTACACTCGCCATACGAAACAGCAGTGTTAAGCTGTTATTTTACGCTGGTATTCTGTGAGAGCGTAGTTCTTCCGCGGTCGAGTCGAGCCATTCGTGCTACAACTATACTACTAATATAGTTGCAGCATGGCTCTATCACGTATAAAATTGGTTTTTAATTATTGTAATTAAAAATAATAACAGCTTTGAGTAGTACATAATATTTACTTAAATTATATGATATACACTATACTAAATACTATAGAAATGTTAAACGTTCTTGGAAGCTTGGAACTGCAATAGATCTCTCGGCTTCTATCTTGGCCCCTTGTGGTGGGATTTCTTTAATTTAAATGAAATTTTATTTTTTTAATAATCCAAATAAATACAGGATATTTAACGTTTTTTCTTGTGTTAGCTATATGAATTAAATGTTGACACATTTATAAGTGTCACGTAATTTCAGGTACTGTACTTTAGACTAACTGCACTAAAAACTTTGTCAACATCTGTCAACACGTGCTCACTTGTCACCCTTATTCTACAAAAAATGTTGTCGTGAAGCGACAATAAAGAACAAAAAGAATCTAACCTAAGAACAACAAAACAACAAAAATACAACAAAAGCAAAAAAATATATTTAAGATTCAAAATATTTACAATTTTATATTACAAAAATGGAGTATGAATATGAGGATGGATGATGCGATTTACAGATTATTTAAAAAAAAGTAATAAAAAAAAAAGATTAGTGCCGAAGCTGGGTCTGAAGATCCAAGGTGTGCTCTCAGCGCCTGGAACGAGCGCGCACGGCGTAGGTGAGAAGGCGTGGGCGTCTCTAGGCGACGACCTCCGGTGAATGTGGTAATTGCAGGATCCGGCGATTTCAGGCCAGACAGGGGCTTGCAGGATCCTCAGCGGCTTCAGACAACACAGAAGCCTGCTGGAACCGGTGACTGCAGGCGGGACAGAGGTTTGCAGGTTCCGGTGACTCCAGGTAGAACAGAGGTTTGCAGGTTCCGGCTACTCCAGGTAGAGCAGAGACTTGTAGGATCCCGGCGACTTCAGGCAGAGCAACGGTTTGTAGAGTCCAGCGACTTCAGGTAGAGCAGAGGTTCGTAGAGTCCAGTGGCTTCTGGCAGGACAGAGGCTTGCAGGATCCCGGGGCAGTGCGGCCCCGGGATAAGGCCTTTAGAAGATGCTTCCAATTCGAGAACTGGAGCAAGACTGAATTTCTTCACCGATTGTTCGACTTTTATACCTTTCTAGAGAGAACGGAAAAATTATTTAAATTAAACGCAAATTTTTTGTAAATGGTCAAGAGAAAAGAGTATTTATGTGGAATTATCGAAATAGAAACAACAGACCGGTAGCAAATTTGAATATAATTGCTATGGAGACCAAATAAACAACAATGTCAAAACATGTCAAATTTTGGTTTTAGGCTTTAATAAGAAAACGGCAAGATTTAAGTGGAAAATGAGATATTACTGATATAAGAAAAAAGGTAGCGCAACTGCCCACACAAAGCCCGAGATTGTAGAGTTACGGAAAACTAACTAAAAGATCGAAAAAAGGTAGTCTCCATTGACACCAATTTAAAAGTGCTGATAATGTGAAAATACGAAGTAGAAATGATTTGTTATTGTGTTCTTATGGTTTAAAATCGTTACAGGATCCTATGGAAATAAAGGTGATGTAAAATATCCAGTTTTGAAGTGAATGCAGAAAATCGAAACAGATTGGAAAAAATGAATTTAAAATAATGTAAAATGATAAGTAAGTAGCATAACACTACAATGTCATGTAGAAAGAATGAATGAGGAAAGAGTGACAAAGCAAATTTATGTTGCAGAGGTGAACGTCAGAGTCGGGAAGGGTCGCCCTAGGCGAAAGTTTATCGATGCCAAATGAAGAGTACCTTTAACCGACGAGCGTGTATGCGTAGGTATATGGATGTGGAGGAAGCGAGAGAGGTGTGTCAGTATCGTGCCAAATGGAAGTCCATAGTCTCTGCCTACTCCTCTGGGTGACAGGCGTGGGTATATATATACTACAATTTTTTTTTTAATTTATGTGTAAATATCATAACACCTGTATAAATTTTTGACCTTTAATTATTTTTAGTCGTGTAAAAGCACACTCCATTATCCGCTGATGACAGCGAAGAGATGAGAATTTTTGTTTGGCTCCACACCGCAACTAATTGGTCCCTTTAGAAGACCTTTTTGAGTAAAAAGTAAATAACAAAATTGTGGCTTTGGACAAGAAATGTTGTAAAACCGCTTTTAAAGTTCTTTGTTTGAAATTACCAGGTTTTGGGCGACTGGCATCTAATAGATTTTTTATACAAACAAGTGTGACAATCCAGTTCACTGTCCACCTAACTCTCTACCTAGAGACAGATGGAATGCTTTGTCACCAGTAAAAAGGTTATACACTTCTTGTCACTCATCATTTTGTTATTATTATTATATAAAAAAGGAAACAAAAAAGAAAGAAAGAAAACTCTATTTGTTGCACAACAAGATTTATAATAATAATAATAATAATAAATTTATTTATTTACCAGAAACACTTAGCCAAAATACAGAAAAGTTCTGTGACTCCCACACTAGGCATGGCCTGTCTCGTGGGGTCAAACAAAAGATTTTACAATAGAACAAAGTGGCTATTTGTCGAAATTACGTAAAACAATTATGCGTAGCAAAGCAAAAAAAAATACGGCTTAAAAATTATGCAAAATTACAGACATAACAAGCATATTCTAATTTAAAGGAGCGCGCGTGTAATTGAGGGTGAGTGTGTATGAGTGTGAGTGTGAGTGTGTATGAGTGTGAGTGTGAGTGCGAGTGTGTGTGCGTGTGTGTGTGTGTGTGTGTGTGTGTGTGTGTGTGTGTGCGTGCGTGCGTGCGTGCGTGCGTGCGTGCTTGCGTGCGTGCGTGCGTGCGGGTGTGCGTGTGTGTGTGTGTGTGTGTGTGTGTGTGTGTGTGTGTGTGTGTGTGTGTATGTGTGTGTGGTCCACTACCGTTTTAACACCTATTTAAGGGTCACCAATATTTCTTCTTTTTTTATAGGATAGGGGGACAAACGAGCACACAGTCCACCTGATGGTAAGTGGTTGCTGTGGCCCATAGACATCTACATCTATCCTCGTTTGCGAATCCAGATGTAGATGCGTTCCGTCATCCGTGAGGACTAAGTTGGAATGCCTCTTTTCCAGTAAAAAGGGTCTCCGGTTCTCTACACTCACCATACGAAACACAGCAGTGATAAGATGCTATTTGACGCTGGTATTCTGTGAGAGCGTGGTCCTTCCCCGGTCGAGCCGACCCAATCGTGCTACAACTATACTACTAATATAGCTGCAGCATGGCTCTACCACGTAAAAACTATAAAATATATTAATTAAAATAAAATTTTGCATGCTCTTCGAGCAGTGCAGATTCATTAAATATAACTAAAATAAATCTTAAAATTATATCGAGTAAAGCCAGAATACAATTTTTGCGTAAGTAACAATCATAGAAAATTGGATGACGCAATAAACATGTTATATGTATATCAGGTAAAATAAAATACATTTTCTTAAAATTTCAAATAAGATTTTTCGCAAAAATACAAAACTACTTTCAAAGTATTTATCTATGTCTTCGTCAACCGCCACTAAGTGCCGTAACAGACCACTGCTAGACGTGGGACTCTCTCGTTATAGGGAGGACTTGCTAGTTCGATTTGAGTTACAGGCGGATTGACGACAACAGTGCCATAATCGCCGCCGCCATCTATCGGAAACAAAACTTTTCTTCTGGCATATCCCATAATCACCAATTACAACTCCCACATGATGAAATCGGGTGATGGATATTCTCGCGCCGCTACCGCATTATGTCCGCTCAAAACGGCACGATTATATTTTAAAGATTTATACTAATCCTTATTAATAAGTCAGCGAATTTTACGAAGTCTCCCACTATTGGAATAATTAATCTTATCTAGTTTTATATTCAGAATGTCATATTAAGTTTACATTGCTTCAACTATTGAGAGTACGTATCGGTATGCATACTATTTTCTGCAATCGGTACGAACGCTGGACGGCTTTATAAATTATCACAAGGTAGGGATATAATATTTGGCATTACGGTACTGTCTTGCAGAATTCAGGACGATTGACCGCCTTACTCTATAGTGCTACTTGATGCGTTATACATTTCTTTCTTATTATATACTACATTCATACAATGTAATGCAAGGCACCGTATCACATAATTCATGTTGACTTAGCGAAATTACCATGGAATTGTATGCAGTCAACCATAAGCCTGTGTTCTAAAGAACACTAGATGGAAATCTTCTGTCTAATTTTAAACGGTTTAATTTCTTTTCCGACTTTGGTAAGATCCTCAACGCTGGTTATCTGTTTAACTTAACTCAACTAACAGGCTGGACGTG